CGGTATACTGTCCCGTTCTTGGCACTAAATCATCTCCGGCGACAAGAAACGTCGTGAAGCTGAACTCTCTTAAGTCCATCTTATCCGGTGAATTATGATCGCGCGACAATGGTTGCCGCGCGTTAAGTTTCTCGCAGAACGAGCCTAACTTGACGATTATGAACCGTTGAGACGAAAGATGAACTGATGAACATACACACAATATTGTTTTCTCTCACCCGGTTAAGTTTTTGCCGAATATAAAATCGATTTGTTTCAGACAGAATGTCGATACACTAATAGTCTTTCTAAATTATATACGAAACCATTTTCTCGAAATTAAAATTCCAAAACCACAAATAAGCAATGCAATTTTTTCCAAAGTTTTAAATTTGTTTTATCAAATTTCTTATTCTAAAATTACATGCAGAATCCTGATATTAAAAACAGGACAGTTATAAAAAATAAATATTGTCAATTTTTCTAATGTTTCTTTTGGAAGGAAATTGACATCGAGTTTGAACTGTAATCTCGATAGAAGTGCGATATCCTGTATATTCAATATTTTTATTCGATTTATGGAGTTATTTCAGCAGAGCCCCGAGCTGAAAAGTTGCAAAACATTTGATGGACTTTGCGTTTCTATTTGTGAATTTACACATGTGACTATTTTCATGAAAAGTTTCAAGTGGTTTTTAAAATTGAAAAAATCTTTTCTTTTTTCGGATGCATGTTGTGCTTTCGCTCACTATCGCGTCCGATAGAAGTTGCGGACGATCTCTTCGTCGTTTTGTAAAATTTTTGTTGTAAAAAAAAAGAATGTAATTTGTCGAACACGTTGCATTTCTTGTACGATCGTAATACTCGAATCGGTGTATTTCGGTGTCGAATGCATTCGAAACCTTGACCCCTAAGAATTTTCAGGAAGTAAAGTTCAAGATTCGCACTGTTTCTAACGAAACTTTACGCTTCAGAAAAGTCCGACGCCGATAAGATGTAAGATGCTAAAAGTTTTGCAATTCACCACCTTCGTCTCTCAATCAAATAGCATCAATACTATCTCGATCGTTCTCACAACCGAATATCTCTATAACTTTTGGACTCAACTCGAACTCGAATGTTTCCACTTCCCGAACCTCAATTGAGCGTTCCAGTAATCCCAGTAACTTCTGGATTTTGATGTCTCTGCGACTTTTAAACATCGATCGGATGTTCTGATAGCCTTCGAATTTTCATCGAATATCTTTAAGGCTCTGATATATTTTGACGTTCCAAGTGTCTCTGCAGTTTTCGAATGCCTGTCCATCGGCGGGCTTATGTAATTGGTAGCAGGTGGCGAACGACGGAAGGTGGTTGGCCCACGCAGACGACCACGAAGAACACGACCGCGTTAACGGCGTCGGCATCGTGTTGTTGTCGCCGTCGTCGTCGTCGTTGTCGTCGTCGACGGTGTCGGCGTCTACGATGGTGGCTATAAATAATCGGGGGAATCCCGAAGTGCCAGAAGATATCGGCGCGCGCGAGAGCATTTGCGGCTGCGAATCGGAGCGGAGACGTCCATTAATCGAACATCAAAGCAACTAGATAATGTTATATCACTCGCAATCTAGCGTAAGCTGCTATTTCAGCATTAAAAGTTTTAGAAGCAATAGCAAGAATTATATGTAAAACTACACGTAAATCATGATACTAGAAAGCGATTATTATATTAAAAGCTACAATATATATATAATTGTATTAAAATAATTAAAGATATAAAAAAAATATTTTAACATTTCATGAAACTGAAAGTATTCACAAGAGACTCAACTTTTTTTTTATTACATAGTCGATAATTAATAAACCTCGCGACAACGAGCTATCGTTTTTTTTTGTTTTTTTTTTTTAGTAAAAATGGATTTAATTGATTTTTCCTGTATTATACTGCAACATACAGGCCACGCGTACATACTTTCATCAACTCTATCGATATCCCGCGGTTGACGGGATCCAGTGTCGAGCCCTTATTATCTGAACGCTAGATCGAGGTGCAATTGGGTTAGTCACGTTAGCACACAAAAGCTTGAAAGCTCGGTCGTTCGTTCACTCGCGGAGGCAGTTCATCCCATCAATCGATCGAAGAGCGACGCAAACATTGTAGCGGTGGATAGTGGCCTTTCTGCGGTTGTATTCTTCGTCGATGCTGTGTAAAGGGTGGCAAGACGACCCAGGTCGCGCGGAGCGAGATAGCCGCCTACCCTCTTTCGCGTCACCCTCCTTTCCTGTCACGCGTATCGGCAGGCACTATTATCTTTGACGATTTACAGCTGCTGCGCCGGCTGATGGGGCTTCTCAGGTTCTCTCCGCAGCACCCTTCCGTTGTGGTTTTCGTTGATGAAACGGCAGTTTCCGCAAACCGGAGGGAACATCTTCGCTTGTTCTGCTTTAGTTGCGAATTTTCTCTTTGACACTCTATCTTCATTCACTGTGTCCCTGTTTTTGCCCCTAGCGTTTCCTGCTCTTCTTCCTATTTCAGTTTCAGTGTCCTAATTGCTAAGTTTTGCTTGCCTTGTTTATTTGTTTAGTTTTAACTGTGTCCTTAGCGAAAGTTTGTTGTCGGAGCTCGTTTGTTTGTTAAATTTTTGCCATATATGTAGCAAAGTATTCTATTGTAAATTAATTATAGTATTTTATTAAGCATCTCATACGTAATAATTAGTATTTCTTGAACATGATTTAAAAAACTGAAATTTTCTCTTGAGTTTTTCCCTGGCTATTAGAGGCATGCGTGTTATGTTTCATTTATTTTATCCCGAGACTCTACCGTAGAAAAATAAATTACATCCTCTGTACTTCTTTCACTAATCTCTTTTTTAACCTTTTGTCTGATGATGTAATTTGCTCAGAAAATTCTTTTATCATGAGCAGCGAAAGTACGCCTGTGTGTCGGCCACTAGTTCCTTTCTCTACCCATTCGCGCGCTTATTCGTTTAATCTTAATTTGTTTCTCGGCTACTCTCTCTCTCTTAAATTTATTGCTCCTAGAAAAACAGTAAACACTTTTGAGCGTTTTCAATATTTTAAACACCAGGGTATTTAGATTTAAAACACTAAAATGTTTAAATCTGAAACATTTTTCATTATTGAACGCTTGTTTTGGGAAAAACGTTTTAAATCTAAATGTTTTCTCCAATTCACTTTTTAGAGTGCACGTGTTTGTTTATTCGGTTTAATATAAATCTGACCTCTTGATTTTATTTAATAAACCGAAATTATTTTACTAATTCTATAAATTTTATACAAACTCGAGTCTATCATAAATTGTCCAAATGTATTAACGCTATAGAAAAATACCCAAGAGGGCATTATATTTTTTCACTTTAAAAAAGTCGCTCTCTATTTGATCCAATAATTTATCTAACAATTATCCTTTTCTAATAAATGGATACTCTGGAGAATTCCAACCCAGGAAAATTAATTAAACCGTTCAGCTAGCTTGACATCCGCTTCTTATCTCTTTTTTTATCTGTCCGACAAAACATGTAGGTAATCGTGGAAAGAAACGATTCTCCATTTGTGCAATTGCACCGTGTTTTCGCTTACAAATTCTGCTAACAAACACTTCGTTCTGCTAGCGACTCTCGCGCACGCGTTGAACCAACAGCACGAGATAATGGACAACTAGATGATTTCTTAATTCAAGAGACAACTGTGCATTTATTTCCAGTTCCACCTGCCAGCTCTGCAGAAAACATTAATCCTTGCGAACGCCATTTGTGTCAAACATTTACGAGCTATCGAATAAATTACTCGGTCGATGTTGTTCGCACCATTATTATTCGACAAGGATGTCACAAGAGAACTTGAATCTCTTACTTCAACTGAATATTTCCTTAATGAATTCTGTTCGTAAATTGCAATGCAACGTGAGATATGTTTTGTGACACACGAGACACAAGGCAGATTGTTCTTTCAGGCTGTCTAATGTAAAGGTGACTGGTTTAAGCTAGATCTAATTTAGGTTTAGACTGAATCTTAACTTGATACTAAGCGGATACTGGCTAGATCCTGATTGGATCGAGACTTGATCCAGACTGAGCTTAAACCGGTCTAAACCGGGCTCAAGCTTTATCTATACATATGCATATTATGAATTACGTTAAAGTGGTTTCCGACGGTTACTTGAATATTCAAGTACACGAGTGTCATTGAACCGTCGTGAATTATTCGGAATCTCGGCGCTGATCTCCGATAGAATGCGCAATTTGGAGTCAAACGCGCGTCTAGAGCCCCGTGCTAATTTTGAGCTGAATAATTAATTCGATTTGAATCGGCGCCGCTCGGCTCTTCCGCTTCCGATAGCTCTCGCTCGCCGGTAAGAAGTGTCTATAACGAGCTCGCTATACGCCATTTGACTTCTACGCCTGCCGCATTTTCTTGACATTGATTAATGCTTGTTTATGTACACACAAGTCAGCCACGTGCGGATCCGCATAAGTGACGTTGACTGAGCGCGTACAAATGATATGGTTTCGATTATCCGCCGCGCTACAAATATCATACGACGTCACACGTCGCGTGCATTTTGCGCCCTTGAGCGAAATTATTATTAGATTGTTGCACGCGAAATGTCACGTGCTTTGAGCGACATTTTCCTCCCCTTTTTCCTTACTTCACAGTTATTTTCTTATCATCAAGAACTTCTGTTGTATCGCGCCAAAATTTCTACGCAACACCGAGTTGAACGAAATTTTATTAAAATAAGATAAATATTAATTGTCGTCTCGGCCTTTCGACGACACACTTTGCATATTTGCGAGCTTGCGTGAATTATTATATTTGTGCAACTCCAATGAGAATAAAAAACGTAGTTAATCGCTGTCGCGATTAAAACATTAATTAAAGTTACAAACAACGGCTGTTTATATCGCACTCACGCGAACCGTTTCGATTTTGCTTGTTGCAGACAATTCTGGGGCACGTGGAGACTCATCGGGTAGCTGCAGCAACGTGCTGAAGCGCGATCTTGACGCAGAGACGTGCGACCTGGCACGTGCAGCGCGGCGCAGCGGCGTCGAGCGCGGCAGACGGTCGTCGAATACCCGCCCACGTCATTATCGTCATTATTATCCCGTGGGTGCACTAACAATCTCGCGTCCAAAGTGGCTAAGAGCGTAAGTCCCCGTCGAGCGCACCAGGAGTGCTCCAGCGGGGTGGACGGGGTGCAGGCGGCGGCGCAGGTGCAACAGCAGCAGCAGGAGAGACGAACACCGAGGCGCATGCCTTACCTGGGGCCTGATATGACAACCCGGCTGTCCGCCATGTTCTACACGGTCGAGGTCGGGGACACCAAGTTCACCATCCTCAAGCGCTACCAAAACCTCAAGCCTATCGGATCGGGCGCGCAGGGGATCGTTTGGTGAGTTTGATCTAGCAGCCGTGCGCAACTCCGACGACCGCCCGTGCTTTTGTGCGCTTCGCGTAGAATTGACAGGGAGAGACACGTGCGCGAGAAATCGTAGGCACCGACCGATCGATTCTTCGTCGCTTAGCACTCGGAAGTTTTTGCCAGGCGGAATAAAATCACAATTTTAACTTGGGAATGCGGAAAGACTGTAGAACGCTAAAAGCTGAAGCCGTGGAAAATTTCAAGAGCCCAGATCAATTTCTTTGTCCAACATGTCGACTGTACGTATCGGACAGTTTCTCTTCATTATTTACGCGATTACCTCCATTACGTTCTATTTATACATCCCGCATTATCCGTTTGTTTGTTTTTTTTTGCGGCTAAAATAAGACGTCTCGTCGACTTTCGTACAATCAAACGTATACGGCTGGCAATAATAGCGGCATCCGTCAGACGCGAAAGTTTCCAAGTGGATTCGAAGTCGGGCGTACGTTGTATCGCCGCGTCGATATATATCTCGATAAAGAACCGGGGACGAGATGGGCAGAGGGTTAACTACGATTTCTCATCCGGAGCCCGAGCGGAGTTGAGCGGGATCGATTGCCGTGGAAGAGCAACAGAGTAACAGAGCAACGGGAGATACTATCGCCGTGCGGATGGAAAACGGGGGGAGGGGGAGGGGGGGGGGGGAGAGCCGGACTAAATCGGGCAATCGATCGGATGGGTGAGGGGGGGAGGGGGAATGTCGGGATTTCGCAGGAGTACGCGAGTTTTCCTGCGTGGACGAGGGGACAACGACGAGTGGTAGAACGCCCCTTTCTTGTAAGCCGGCGACGTGATGTTAGAAAAATTGTCGTCGACGACAATTTCACGTCGCGTTCCCTCGTCGCTCGTCGTCGTTGTCGTGTCTAGCATCGGGATCTCTCGATTTTTAGACGAGGCGAATTAAATCGGCGATACTCCTTTTCTCGTGAATGCGCTGAATAGATCTCCTGCGAATATAATCATGATCCCTTTAACATTTGATGTACGACGGTTTTACAACACGTCACGGATGAAAAGTATTTCTGGAATAATATAAGGAGATTACAAAATTAAAAAAATAAATAATGGAGAAGGAGGATACGCAAACAAGAGAAAATTATGCGGCAAATAATATCAAATTAAAATTTAAAAATAAAATATGTGACACGTTGCTCTTTCTGTTGTGAATTTAATTTAATTCTACGGATTTTTCTCATTGAAACATTAAATATAAGTACGTGATGTAACACTGCGAATGTAGAATATGATAGCAATTTTTTCTCAGCTTTCTAAAAATATAACTAATATCAAATAACTTATAAAATTTGAGAACTTTGCAATTCTTTATTTACAGTAATTTTTACGTAGAAAAAAGAAACAATGAATTAAATTTGACAAACTAAAGAGTTTAGCGCGATAGAAGCTCGCGATTCGCTTTTTAAAGAACTTGAAAAAATGTATTTATTTCTAAATTTACTTTTTCTGCTTTTTAACTTTAATAGGTTTTCCCAAATCTTTAGGAAAGTGTAATAAGGTGTTTTTATAACGTATCCTTCACTATTCGAGTAAACTTGACCATTTCGTGCTTCCTGCCTTCACTATTTGCCCGGGCTATTAGCGATTTAGCGCAAACGTGATGGTATTCGCGAACGAAACTCGGGGAATTGTTGAAATTCACGGCGAACAGTATCGATCGTACGAGGAAAGCGAGGGGCCTCGCCTCGTCGCACGTGTCTCTCCTTTCAGCACCCAGTAGGAGCTGAAATACTGCATTATCCGAGAAAGCGCGCAATCTCGGGCAATACACAGTGGCCGTGGCGTGCAGGTAAGTCGAACGAACGGACGAGCGAACGGTCGAAGGGAATGCGGATATCGGTTTTCGATAAAATTCTGCCGTGTCGTGGTCCATTACGGGCAACATGCGAGGCGCCGTCTTGTCTCGTCCCATCTCTCGAGAAGCGAGGGAGCTCTGGAAAGGGCTGACCGATTCTGTGTGCGTAGAAGGTAGGTCAGGATGTGCTGGGAAATCGGTTAATGACGGCCGGATATTATCCACGGCGGAGCCTGTGATCCGTGCATTAGCCCTGGCGTTATCAGAGATGCTGAGGGAAATTCCTCTCGTTAATATTAATCTTTCATTATTCCGTAATGAAAGAAGGAACATTATAATCAGGCAATAGTCTCTTTTTTTTTTTTCTAGTAATTATAAGAGTAATATCTTTGTTCAAAATGTCAGTGATTAACACTAGCTTTTTATATACAATTCTTAAAGGACGAAGGGATCAGAATTGTGACCCTTAAACGATTCCACCTTTCTGTTGAAATATTAGCGCACACACACACACACACACAGCCGTAGGTTATTGCCTGTAATAAAAATGAGACCTTGCGACGTGAAAAAAAATGTCTTAATTTAAATAAAAATGGTAAAAAATGGCCTCTCTCTTCTTTTGTAACGTTCGGGGTTTTCCTGAGAATTCTAAGTACGATGAGATTTAAAACGTTCAAATTTGCAGTTACGAAAGACATCTCGATGCTGCTTGAGCCGAGATAATATTTTATGGCCAAGGAACATTTTGAGTTGGCAGTCAAATTTTCGGGCGTCAAATATATTGCGAAAGTTTTACTGTGTCGAGAAGAATTTCTCAAGTTATTTCGGAAACAAAATATTGGAAATTTGATTTACAGACTCTTTTATATGGCCTCTCGTGGTCCGTTAAAGTTTACCATTAAATATTCCGGTGGCTCTTATCTTTATTTCAAAGGAAATGTTCGACCAAGAGTGAGAGCGAGCTTTCAGCCCGTTTGATCGTGTTCAACCGGCCGTCGAATACGATTTCTCTCGCAAGAAAACGATCTCAGTGAGGACGACATTTCGAAAGATAGGACGGCGAAAACGTTCGTTCGTGAAGAACCATCCATACTTACGATTATACGTTCGACGGAAGATCCGCATGCCTTTCACGTGCTTCCTTCCTTCTGATGCCGCTCGTTATTTTTCCGGTTTAACTGACGATTGCACCGATTGAATCCGTACGCCAATCGCATTCGTTTAACGAGCTGCGAGTGCGAGATATTTTTAGATTGCAAAATCGATTCCCGCGATATAATTGAAGATTTGAAACGCGAAGCACGGTGGAAAATTACCTCCATCGGATTAGAGAATTGATTCTTCAACATCTTACGTGTAATCGGTTTTGAAAATTTATCGAAGTTAATAATTTCATGGGAGAGAGAGAGAGAGAGAGAGAGAGAGAGAGAGAGAGAGAGAGAGAGAGAGAGAGAGAGAGAGAGAGAGGAGCATAAAATTACCACAGAACTTCTCACAAGAAAAATATGGAGCACTCGTAACTCGACAAATATTCATAAACGTACTTTATCTCGCTTAATTCTTTCATGGAACTCTTTTATTTTATTTAAAATTGATATGTAATGTAGTTTGGATTGATAGCTTTTTCTTTACAGCACAGAACCTTTCAGCTACACTGCAACAAACCTTCTCACTAATTTTTATTTTACTTTGTTATTTTACTTTATGATATTTGTTTTTTGCTCACTTGTTTATCCTTGCATGATTTTTGGATCCATCCACTACTTTTGCATTATTAAGCAGCTGATTCTGATACAAAATGTACACAAGGGAGAAATTTCGTAAAAGTGTGTATCGCGCGCTCAGAAAAAGCACGTTAAATTGTATGGATGGTTCCGACAATCAAGCACGGACTCGCGCGACGCGGCTTTCAAAGAGAATCCGAGCGAGAGGGAGAGGGGTGCTTTGAAGGATTGCCAGGTGGAACGGCGAGCCTAACTCGAGCTCGTTCCAAGAGTTATACATCACGCTCGTTTGTCCTTTGAGACCGCTGTCGGTGACGTTGTTGCGACCGTCGACGGAGAAAAATTACGTTCCGCGAAACGCGACGCGTTTTGCAACGCGAGGCGCAAGATGTAATTTAGTATCGCGATCTTTTAATACAAACTTGAATTCTTGCAATAAATAATAAACTTTACAGTGTAGATTTCCAACGACGATTTATTTCGACTCTTCAATTTATGTTTTTCGGAATGTTTCTCGAAATAAATATAGAGAAACGACAAGATATTTGTCAAGCAATCAAAGTATTAAAATCAATTTTGGAGAAACAGAAATTTAAAAAGAACAAATAAATTTTAGCTCGACAATTGTTCAATGTAAATTATTAATTAATTAATATTAAACTCTCGTGTTCTATTTATACATTCACTTTTTTCAAAAAATATATTGTGATATTAAAAAATTTGTGAATTTTATTTACTCTCGTACTCGTACTCGTAAGCACATTTAACGCGATTTAATCGCTGAATATTCGAAGTTGCGAACGTGTCGAATCACGAATGTTTTCAGTCTCGAATATCGCTGAAACGTGGCAATGATAAATTTTCTCCATCGCCGCTTGGCTTGATCGTTTTCGTTTCCTGTAGCCTGTAGTCCTTGTGTCGTTGATTTGGTAGCTAGAGCCACGATATACACTACCTAGTTAAGCACGAGAGCCGCCACGAGAGACAGAGAGCTAAAGAGAGAGACAGAGAGAGAGAGAGAGAGAAAGAGAGAAAGAAAACGGAGCTTAAAGAGTCGCCTTTAAAAGAGATAACGAACGATGGCGACGAACGCGACGGAATCGAGCAACGTTCGCAACGGCTATCGTCGTCATGTTTTCGGCGACACCGAGCTTTGCATACCCGAGCGATACGTCGACGTCGTGCCGCGTGGCGTCGGCGCTCAGGGTATTGTTTGGTGAGTAAAATTCACGGCCCGTATGGTGGGTCAATACGCTGCGAATGTGTGTGTCCATTTTTCTGTCTCTCTCACTGACCTTTACAGTCTCATTTTACATTAAAAAGCGCTTTTTGTCGCACTTGTGTGTATATTGCATTTGTTGTGGTACTGCAAATTTGATCTGTACTTTTAACTCTTGCACTTTTACAATTGTACATTTTAACGTTTATTTATATTATAACAGTTCTTTTTCGCGATATTTTCCGCGTTAAATGCTGTGGGTTTAATATTTCGCAAGTGTCCAAAAAAAAAAAATGCTTATATATAATTTGTGAATCAATTTTATTTTCATATATTCAACGTTAATCTTCTCCACATATTTGTATCTTCCTTTATTTTTATCAAAATTTTAAACATCTCTTTCTTTGTTATTAAAATATTAAATCGCATCTCTCACTTACATTGAATTAAAAATGTTATCAAATCTTGTTAAATTGTGCTTAATAAAATATGCACATTATATTTATGATTAGAAATAAAATAAATTCAAATTAATAATTTTTTCAATCATTTGATTATTAGTTTTGGTTATTTATTTCATTTTAGTTTATAGATTGAGGATCGCGTGATCAGGTGCGAAACTGATCGGTCGATCTTGAATTCCTTCTGTTGCAGCGCGGCGTATGACACTGTCACTGCGCAAAATGTGGCAATCAAGAAACTGTCCAGACCCTTCCAAAACGTGACGCACGCAAAGAGGGCCTATCGAGAATTCAAGCTTATGAAGCTGGTCAATCATAAAAATGTAAGTTTGTAACTAAGTTTCGTTCGATTTTGCGGCAATTTTCAATGCGTACTCTGTGCATTTATTTTGGGCACGCATGTGTCGTATTTTATTACATACACGTGCAATAAATATTTCTAAAACAAGTATAATAAAATTCAAATGTTTAATATTATTCAAGTTTTAAAGCTCTACTGCTAAATTTGGCAAATGTGCAGTATGGATTTTAAGCATTATTTTTACAATTCTGCACAGATAACAATTATAATTTTTATAACTTTACAGTTAAATTAAAAACTGAGGATTTTAATTACTAACACATGTCTTAATTAGATGAATTGACATTTTAAACTTCGATTATTGTAATTAATTCGCTGGAAGCATAATTGAAGAGTTGGATAGAATAACAGCGTAATTTGGTTACACAGTTTCGAGAGAAGTGAATTTAAAGTTTAACTGAATAATTCGTAAGAAAAGAACGAAAGAAAGAAGAATTTAATTTGATTTATAATATTTGAAAAGTTCGTCAAAAAGTTTTCGAAAACAAGGTCGAAACTCGCGCTGTTATCTTGTTCCTTAATTTATCTCGTTATCTTGCAGATAATCGGTCTTCTGAACGCGTTCACGCCGCAACGGTCGCTGGACGAGTTTCAAGATGTGTACCTGGTGATGGAGCTCATGGACGCGAACTTGTGTCAAGTGATCCAGATGGATTTGGATCACGAGCGCATGTCGTACCTTCTCTACCAGATGCTGTGCGGCATCAAGCACTTGCACTCCGCCGGCATTATTCATAGGGTGGGTGGACGTTCGCCGTTTGCGCGTCCGCGCGCTCGATGAAAATTGCATAACGGCCGTGGCCGTTTAATGCGCCGTAACGAGATTCATTAGCGACGCCGGTTTCTGTATATATTGTATCTCCGTCGCTGTTGTTATTTCGCGGCGAAAGAAATAACTACCGTCGTTCCGATTAATTTCCCACGTCACGCGTATAATAGAATAACTAAAACCGGCGTCGCTCATTAAAAATGAGAATGCCGGTGTTGTGATTACGCGCACAGGCGCGCGTAATTGAGCGTTAAAAATTAAAATTTATTTAACCGAATAATTGTAACGCAATAACTCGCTTTAGTGGTAGCTTTACAACTACCGTAGTTAACTTGAAGTCACTTTGTGAATTTTATTTTTATCAATTTTTCGCGATTTCGAACTGTTTCACTCGATGCGATGACATTCTCGAGCGATTAAATAAATTTCTAAAGCTCGACTTTGTTCACCCCGCAGGATTTAAAGCCAAGCAACATCGTCGTAAAGTCCGACTGCACGCTGAAAATTCTCGACTTTGGCTTGGCGAGGACCGCCGGTACTACATTCATGATGACGCCCTACGTCGTGACACGGTATTACCGGGCGCCCGAGGTGAGTCGAATTTTTCTCGTCTCTAACTTTTTTTCCATTGTTAACCTGCGACTTGATCGAAATGTCCGTCTTTCAGGTGATCTTGGGAATGGGTTATAAAGAGAACGTGGACATCTGGTCGGTAGGATGCATCATGGGCGAGATGATTCGTGGTGGTGTACTTTTCCCAGGCACAGATCATATCGATCAATGGAATAAAATAATCGGTAAGTATTTTTTTTTTCGTTACGATGATAATAATTGTAGCGCTGATCGAGAGTAATCCGATTTGTAAAATAAAATGTTACGAAATAAAATCATACTTCTATTTTTAATTGTCAAGTTGAAATAAAATACATTTTTAGGTTTGGAATATCGTTACGCCATTATTCAATCCATTTTTTATATATATTTTTAAATCGAATAAAATATAAAATTTATTTGATTTTATCAGAATGTACAAAATTGAAAGCTGCATTAGAATTCACAACGATATGCGCGCGTCAGTTTTCATTTATAACGCCCGTGTAGCATCAATTATTACTAACTTTTAATTGTAAAGGGTAATCTGAGATTCACGATATTTACATGAGAATTTGATACTGTAAATAGACTACTCGCTCTCATTAAATTTCACTCGCTGTATTCTGTTTGCAGAGCAACTTGGCACTCCGGCACAGGAGTTCATGCAACGACTGCAGCCGACTGTCAGGAATTACGTAGAGAATAGGCCACGATATCCAGGTTATCCCTTTGAGAGGCTATTCCCGGATGTCTTATTCCCCTCGGACTCCTCGGAACACAATAGATTAAAAGGTGAGTGGGTCACCAAGTCGATGGCCATGTCGCGGATCGATCGCGAAACGCGCGCATTTTGACGCACGGACGACGGAGAGGATCCGCATTCTCGCCGCCGTTGCCTCCCTTTCTTCATTCTTCCTTTCATAATTTTTATTTCCTTTTTTAGCGAGCCAAGCTAGGGATCTATTATCGCGCATGCTCGTGATCGACCCAGAGCGACGCATTTCTGTGGACGAGGCGTTGCTGCACAATTACATAAACGTCTGGTACGACGAGGGGGAAGTTAACGCTGTAAGTAAGCTCGACCGATCGTCTAAATCGGCCGGCTGCTTCTAATCATGTTGTCTCTTCTAGGAAGTACTCGACTTTAATCATTAATTCGAAAAGACATCTTTGAATTTAATTCAATATATTCGAATTTTCTCTTTTTTTTTTTACATTTGAAAACATCGTACAAAAGAGGTGTCTTTTATGTGACGTTAAAGGAGAGTCTTATCGTATTTACTTCGCTTCTTGAATGTCTTGAAGACCTGATCGTTAACATTCTCGCTTTTTTTTTTCTTATTATTTCTAATAGAATTTCAATTTGCAGCCCGCACCAGGTCCATACGACCACAGCGTGGACGAGAGGGAACACACGGTGGACCAGTGGAAGGAACTGATCTACCAGGAGGTGATGGAGTATGAGACAAGCCATAATCCCGCGGCGGTCGCTCAATCGTCAGAGAGCGCTGGGAGCCGGTAGATACCGCGGAGTAAGAGCCCATCCGCAAACCCCCTCTCATTAAGGAAGCATCCGGACAGTCTGACTTACCGCTTATTGTTAGACGTCACCGGGACGTCGTAGCGAGAAAAGGAGGGGAAAACCGGAGAAAGAAATGGGCGGAAGAAGGAAGGCTAAACCGACGTCCACATACCGATCTCCCTCTGACCTCTCCTTTGAGAAGAAGAGAAGAAGCGCGCGCGCGGGAAGAAGAACACGGAGAAAGGGAAAGGGCTTAACTCTGCCGCAGAGGGGGCGAATCAGAGTCTTCGGGCAGCACACCTGATCAAGTAATAAAGCGAGCACCGAGGACGATTTATCAACGATTCCCCTGCTCGATCTTCTCTCTTCCAGCACAATACGAACGATCTGGATGAACACTTCTTCGGGGTATGCTCGCAAACCGCCACTGGACACCCAAAACACCCTCGTCGCTTTCTTTGCGCTTTATTAAAGCTGTGGAAGTCGAGAAAGCTCGCTGAACAATCCCTAGAGGCTTTCGGGGAGACAAAAATCGGTGAGAAATCGCGGAGAAGAGAAATCAACGAGAGGAAGCAACGGAACTGCCTATAATTGACTGTTTCGATAGTCTTTGAAATGGTTACCGCATTGCACATTGTCGTCTCTTCAACCGCTGTCAATAATCTGAGCTGTTGAACGAGCCTCAATTTCTCTTTCCCTCGACTGTTTTTATCGACATGAACTTCCCGGATGCCTCTTTCGGAAACTTTTGAGTCTTTGTATTGCGACACGATATTTCTATTACGATTCCTCATCGCGTTTACATGACTTTCCTTTTGCTACGAGTTACTTCTTGCTCTACGAAATCGAAAAGCGGACGCCGATGTTGCAAATTTTTTTCCCGGCTGTCCCGCAATCTCGAACGATACTTGCTGTGCATTTCATAGCAATAAAGTCGACGCGAAAGAAAGGCGACTTAGAAATATCGTTTCTGTGATACGGTTTTAAGATTTTACCATCGCCGAAAGCTGGACTGAAGGCTGTTTCGTGAACTTTCGGAGAAAGGGCCAGGATGATTAAATAATCGATCGATCGCCTGTTACGGCTCTCGAGAAGAACCGATCGAGCGCATTTATCGTTTGCATGCAAACAACATATACTATATATTTTTCGTACCATTGTTAAACACACACGGGAACACGCAATTTTCAATTGTAACTTTAACGCAACTATTCTACGCTCTTTCGAGATATCGCGGTACAATGATACTGTACGTGAGGAGATAAGGGAAAATTAATCACAGAGCTTATAAGTCGCTCGGTCGTCCCTGTCGCGGGCAGCAGCGAGCGATCGTCAAGGCGAAGGTTAAAGCCTTAGGATTTTGTTTCATTATGTCGCTGAAAGTCGCGAGAGAGACATAAGTTAGGTATATTTGTTAATTTAATTCACGTAGTTCCGTATATAAATACACATGCATGCCGCGCGATGCAATGAAGTGTGTGAAGCGCAAAGTGAATAGACGAAACGATGCGTTACGCGCGACGAGTCTCGAAACCGATCGTATCGTTAAGGAAAGATACGCGATCGACAATGGAATAGGATTTTTGTATATAATAATGATTATTGTGAATTTAGTGCTGAACGAGAATGCCCGCACGATCTCGCGCGATACCGATTCTTTCGTAAGCGTGTACTTTTCGTTCGGTTACTTCGCATCTCCGCTCTGTATGCTTTCGTCTCGGTCGTTGTCAGTGCCAGTAGTTGCGCGATTTATGGTATTTTGTATTTGTAATTTTGTAGGAATTCGTAAGGAATTAGCGAGTGTGTTGATTAATTTTATCGAGTCGACGGAGAGAAAGGGAGAAAGAGAGAGAGAGAGAGAGGAGAGAGAGAGAGTGTGTGTGTA